TAAACTTCCTTTAATTATCAACTTTATTTTTTTATTGTATCAAAGGTAAGTGCATAAACTTATATACTGTTTATCAAAGATCAAAAACAAATTTATTTAAATATTCTAAAATTGTTTAAACAACAATTATTTTCAAAATATATCGAAAATTAGAACTTAATTAATTAATTAATTAATTAATATTTGTTAATGCTTTTAATTGTATTATTACAAAGCAATAAAATTACAAGGTAACTTCTAACTATTTACAATTCCGGCAATCTTCCGTAAACTTCAATCAATCGAACAAGTTTCACATCACGATTAATCTTGAAGAATCCATCTTCACCCCACTCAGTGTTAAGGGAGTTAGCTCTTAGCCAGTAAGGAGTGCCATTCTCCACACCCCAGCCTATCACTTTGACACAATGAAGTATTTAGGATATGTGTATGATGCCAGCTGATACACAACCTGAAACAAAATAATAATTACAATTATACCAGTGTAATTATGACGTGCTTTGAATTAAAATCTAGTACTACATTATAATAATAACCTATTCTTTTGTAATATGAAATCCATAGCCTGTTTTGAAATTAGGAGAGTTGTCGAAACTTTTTCGCTTTCGAGACGTAAACTGATTAAATTGACATAATTAATCGTATATTGAGGAATAAGGAAATTCCACACCAATTTATGGAAAGAGGGCTTAAAGCTGTCCAAACTAAAATCTCTATAATGATTATCATCCACACATGCCTAGCCCGGTGAAAATAGACATTCAAGGCTACAATAATTCGCATAAAGCTGAAAACTGATACGAATGTTGGGAACACCATTATAAATGAAATTTGAAAAGTCCCCACCGATCCTACATCTGCAAAAAAATATATTGAAGGTCAAAGTTCGCAAATATGGGTTTTTCGCATTTTTCAGCCGAACTGTAAGTTTTATCATAAAAATAGGTCTGACAAAAATTGTTACACTTTTTTCCTAAGAATTACCATTTCTGAGACTTGGCAAGAGAAAATAAGATAAGTTATTGCACCAAAATATTTATCTTGGTTGAGGCGCAATATACAGGATGTTTCTTAATAACCTGCTAATATTTAAGGAGGTTCTTCTCTTCTTGGGTCCATTTTAAGAAAAAAGAACTTCATATGAACATATGTCCTAAAAGTCTTAACTTTTGAACTATAGGGTGCTAAAGTTTTATGAAAAA